ATGAGTACGACGACGGTGAAGATGGCGATGAGGAGTGCCGTTTTGATGGAAGATATGAACACTTCATGCCTGCTTGGCAACTGACGCTGTTGTTCACGAATAGTACGAGTAGCTTGCATTAGGGTGAAAAAGGCGTCCCGAAAATTTTGTAAATTAATGCAAGTTGATAATTTGCTATGACTTAAATTAATATTCCATTTACTATTTCCCTTAATTGTTTGTTTTTAAATTATGTTACTTTTATTTATTTGCGATTACTTCTAAATAAACCTTTTAGAGTCTTTTTATTAAATCGGATCTATATTTATACATTTTTGTTAAATTTTATTGTTTTTTAATTTCATTTTAATTTTTAATTTTGCTTTTTTACTTTTTACTTTTTAATCTTATTTTTTTTTGTTTTAATCGTTTTTCTTTTTATTTTATTTCATTTCGTTTTTTGCAATATATTTTTAACTTTTTAACTTCTAATTTTTTTTGCCCAATAATCGCTGTAACGGTTACAAAGCGCCGAATTTACATGTACGAGTATGTATGTAAAATATTTTTTTATAAGACTAAAATCAACAATATATTTATTATTCGATAAATATGTCTTCATATATTTTTTTTTTGGGTTTTTTAAATATTTTTATATAATCTGCGTGTATAAACATTTTTCAAATTTTTTAAGATTTTATTATTACGCTTTGAAAATATTTTTATATTATTTTAAAAGCTTCAAAATATGAAATTTCATCTAACTTTTTAATTAATTTTCTTTTTCAATCATGACAATTGTTATAAAAATCATTTAATAATCTTTTAACACTTCGAATATTTTTTTTTAATATTTTAACTTGTTATTTAGGTTCTCTTTAGTTTGCGTTTTTCCTTATCTTCCACCCTGGTTTCTAATTGTAGTGCATACATACAAATAATAATACTTATACCAACTACCAACATAAATCCGCTGATCTTGATGCTTTTATTGTAGTAGCTGTCGTTTCGCCGAGCACCGGTTGCAAATGACATTTTTGCACATTAAAAATGATAACAAAACTCACTCAGTGTGCACCGTTAGTTGTTCGTGCTCTGGACGGGAAAAATAGTAGTCCTTTAAACTTAAACGACGGACGCTTATGTGTGCATTTGTTTGTGTTTGTGTGTGTGAATGGAAGATAAATTCAAAATGACACATTTATGTCATAAAAATGTATATATAAAATTATAAATTTACCCTTTTTTTGGGTTCATGCTTATGTTTAAATATATGGAACTGTTGAAGTAGGACGAAAATAAAAAGTGTGGACGATTTAGACTGTTGAAAATATTAATAGGAAAAAGTGCTTTGGATTTCATATCAAAATTTCACAACTTCATGGCAACACTTGTATTTAAATTTACAGTGCTTGCGTTTTTTAAAGAGATATAAACACAGTATCAACTTATCTTCATGCTCTTTTTGATCAGTTATTGATTTTAGTCAGGTCTAGACAGCAATGCACTTTCAAACGTGATTTTTTTTTGCAATAAAAATTCTATTATTTCTCTAATTCTCTTTTGCGTATATTAAAGATTAAATCAATAAATAGTCTTTCTCGCCGCCGAAAGTGAAACCCAATACCTTGGCTTAGCATGCACACACACTGCCCGTCAATCAACAATTTATCAAGGGAATTAGTGCGTTTAATGAAATTATTTTTTAGTCTGGCAGCGGATTTGTTCACATGCGCCAAGAGACTTCGGCGTGTAATTGAATGGAACTGTAGACGCGCTCTTTATTAAATGATTAAACTATTGACAAATGCTTAATAACTCACACGCACATATGAAGTGTGACTGGTGTCTGATGACAACTTATTTATAAGCCGATTGTGGAGAATTTAAACAAATTAAAAAACATTAACTAAATTTAATAAAGTTATATAAATTAATTGTATAAAATAAAATTAAGTAAATTAAAAAATAAAATAAAATTAAATAAAATAAAATTAAATAAAATTAAATAAAATAAAATAAAATAAAATAAAATTAAATTAAATCAAATTAAATTGCATTAGTTCAGTTTAAATTAATTAATTAAAAATTAAATAAAAATATTAATAGAAAAGCGAACGAATAAATGGAAAAAATAAAATTAGCAAAGAAACATAAGATATCAACTCTCTTATGGTTGCTGTGGCCTAAAATGAGCAGTTTGGCTTGCTCACTTGGTGATCCACAGCTAACTGGATTGACTACCGGTTGGTTGCTCTTTTTGCTACTAAAATAAAACTGTTGTTTGTTATTATTTCAAGGCGCATACAACAACAACCACGACAGGAATTGTAATAACAGTAGCAAACGCAAAAATGGCATTGCAGGAAACGCAACAGAAAAATGCAAGCATAACACAAAGAAGAAATAAATAGAAAAAAAAAAATTAAATAACAACTAACAAGACACAACAAGGAAAAATAAAATCAAAAGTGGAATTGATAGATGTGCTGAACTGACGGGCAGACGGACGAACGTGAGATTGAAACGGAGGCAATGAGGTAATTTTGTGTAACACGAAAACGTGATGTCGACCACTTTTCCGAACTGCAAATGGCGGGGCAGCCAACGTAATCGCCGTGGCTACTGCTGCAAAGTTATTCAGCTGTTGTTGTTGTTGATGTTGTTGTTGTTACTGTAACGTGTTGCAGCAACTGTTGCACGCTCGTTATATTGTCTGTCGTCCAAGTGCAGGCAGGCGAGCATCTTTGGGCAGATAATCATACAATTTTGCGGTCAACTTGAACGAGTACATAGGTGCGTGTGAGTATGCGTATGAGCGCGCTTTAAAGTCACAAGCGATTTGCAGTTTATTCCGTTTACTTATCCACTGTCAGTGCATTCCCAAGTGGTTTTTGGCGGCTCAATTATAGAATTTACAATATAACAAGTGGGGCAAGTAAGGCCATAAATGGCAGTGTCGGCAAGAAGGCGTTTGTATGTTTGTATAGGTATGTGTTCACATTCACAGGCAGCGGCGAATTATAGATAATACAGCGGTTTTGAGGCATGAGAATCTAGTTTATATTAAGTAACGTTAGTTAAAAAGAAGAAATTTGATGCTTCACACTTTGAGCGGGACAAGAAAAAATCAATTTTTGAATGATTCAGAAAATTAGAAATACGATTAATAATTAATTTATTCTATCAATTTAAATCCATATTAGGACAATATTTTTTTACCATTTTCTTAATTTTAGTTATATACTATATTTAATATTTTTTTTATTACTTACTTACTTTACTGACGTAAACACCGCTTACACGATCATGGCCGAGTTAACAACATTGCGGCATTGTTGTTTGGCGCCAATTGGAAATACCAAGTACAGCCAGGTCCTTCTCTACCTGGTCTTTTCAACGGAGAGGAGGTTTTCCTCCTCCTCTGCTTCCACCGGCGGGTACTGCATCGAAAGCTGGAGTATTCGCATCCATGCGGATCACATGGCCTAGCCAGCTGAACTATGTCAATGTGGCCGTATAACTCGAACAGTTCTTCGTTCCATCGTCTGCGGTATTCGCCATTGTCTAGCGTTAGCTTACATAGCCGTACAAGTTTTGCGGGGATACCAAATTCAGACATAGGGGCATAGAGGCTTTTAAATTTAGTTTGCGTGGTATTTTATTTCATTTTCTTAACTTTATTTTCAATTTTTCGATTACTCTTGGGCTTAATTTTTTTGAAGTCTTTTAATAATGTTATTATTTTTAATTTTTATTTTTTTAATTAAAAAAAAAAAAAAACAACCTTTTTGCTCACAGCGATATGTACATGCGGTCAAAAAATTTTGGCGGCTGCTATAACCGAGTGGTTAGCAACGAGTACTACTATCGGAAGGCCAGGAATTGCATCGTGACCCATAAAACATTTATAAACATGCTCTGAATGTAACATATGTATGTATGTAAAAAAATTTTCGGCAAGTGTCGCTGAAAAAATCTCAATGAGCATCGCTTAATACAAGTTTGTTAGAAATCACCTTTTCATTGTTTCAATTGCTTCACTAGGAAATTCACCAAAAAGAAGTGCCTTAATAAGATTAAATTGCAAAAAAAAAAAAAAAAAAAAAAAGATTCAGCTTCTGTTTGGTTTCTGTATAATTTTAGTTATCCAATGAAGTGAGGCTATATGTCAGCCTTTATAATTTTTCCGGAATCGTCTCGTTTTATAGATATTTACATTTAGAGAGTAATTATAAAAGTGTTGTACAGATTTCACATCAACAATATCACTTTATTTATTTATCTTATTTTCCTCTTTACAAATTCTCTTTCTATTCTCACAATATCTGTATTTATCCCAATCAATCTACAATACTAGTATCACCAACACTTGTCGACCTGTCATGTTGCTATGTTGGCAATTTTGTTTTATTTTGGTTTTTGGCACCATAAAAAATGTGGAGACTGTCTACACAGTTGGAGGAGAACAGGAAGTCATGTCTGTCAATGTTGCAATGTTTTTATCTGTCGTCATTGTATACTCCTTACGAATTAACTCACAGTGACATAGCGTGTTGCTCTGTAATTATTATTCCCCCCCCCCCTTTTTTTTTTTGCTTTTTTTGCCCTACTTGTCATTGCGCAATCATTAACATTTGTGTAAATAATTATGGGATGTCTGTTGACTCACTCATAGAGAAAGTAAAATTTTGATTTGTTATGTGTATTTGTTCTCTGTTTAAACTGGTTTTCGTTGGAAATATGTAATTAGGTGAAAGAATTTAAATTTTACGCTTAAATCTGCGCTTTAATGACTTTAATCTTGGCAATCAAATCGCTTTTCCCCGTGAACGAGCATATACATATATACCTCAAGGTCTTTCGATTTTCTTTTTATATATTTTTACTAGTTTCTCTTAGGTTTAATAAGTGTCCCAAACAAAACATTTCCATCGCACTTTTAATTCAAATTCTTTTAAAATTTGCTTGTCCGTTTCACTCATTTAATAATTTTCGTTTTGCTTTCTTTTCGTTTTCAGCCAAAAAGCAAAATGGTGCTGCCCTGCGTACAAACAGTCTTGGCTCCGGTACACGCACACCTCCCCTTGAACGCAAAAGCAAGTTGAGTGCTTTGGGGCGCTTCTTTAAGCCATGGAAATGGCGGCGGAAAAAGAAGAGCGAAAAATTCGAAGCAGCTTCCAAGTGTAAGTACCAATATGTCTTACTTAACGAAAAGCTAATTTAAATCACTAGTAACAAAACTAAATTATCCACACAATAATGCGCAAAAAAAAAAATTAACTACTTTTCATTCACTAACACCATTACAACTGAATTGGCAAAAAGGGGCGAAGGCATTCTATTTTTATAGAAAGGAAATTCACGGCACTCACGCACACATCTGCCTTTGGGTGTTTGGTTTGGTTTTTGTTTATATTTATTTTATATATTTATTAATTTTTTTGCTCTATTTTATTATTATTTTTTTTTTAGTTTTTAATTTTTTTTATTTCTTATTCTTTTATTTATTTCTTATTTATGTTTATATATTATTATTTGCTTTATTTTATTATTACATAAATTTTTTAATTTTCGCATTTTCGTTGAATTTATATCGCTAACAACAACAATACGTGTAAAAAAAACAACTTGCTTTTTTATCCACAACCCAAATTCTCGTTTTGCTTCGCAGCACTTGAACGCAAAATATCAGTACGTGCCAATCGTGAGGAGCTTGTACAAAAGGGTATACTGCTGCCAGAGAGTCCACTGGGGAATATACAAGAGCCAGGTAAGTGAGTAGGGAGAAGAAGCGCAGCAAGCGGTGCAGGCAAGAAGAGATGAATGCTCTCACAGTAGCGAATAGTGGGTAGTAGGATTTATGTCGTTTATCCGTGAGATATCTATTGAATGCTGCGTTGCAATTTAAGTGCAGGAATAACGTAACGGTTTATTGAGTGTATGCAATTGCGGTTGTCGCTGCATGTGCTGCGCATAAATACTAAAGATAGTGTTACTGAAGATGAAACTGCTACCGTAGTATACTTTTAGGCAACGTGGCATGCTGCACACACATTTCACTGTTAACTGAAATTTGATTAATATGCATATATGTACATATATGCATGTATGTATGTATTCAAGTATGTAGTGTCATTAACATTCGTATTTTTCAAGGCATGTTACAAGCGGTGCATATTTAGAAAAAATAGAGGATTGAAAATTTTATAGTAAAAAAAAAACCATATTTATTATTGAGTTCTCGATTTTTTTTTTTTTGAAACTTTTTCAAAGTTCCGTATTATAATTTTTCTTATATTTTTGTAGTGCATATTTAATTTGGATGGTGGGTTTTTTGTTACCAATAAAAACTATTTGTGTTGGTTATGAGAATTTATAAAAACGGCTTGCTTGACACCCTGCCTTTCACCTAACACCTTTTTAATTACTTCAAATATAAGCTTATCTTGATTTCATATTTTTTTGCACACATTCGCCTAAAAATTGTGTAAAAAAAGATAAAAAAGTTTGGTTATACTTAGATCGCAAATTTGACTCGAAAACAAATCCCGGTTCTCCTTAGCTGACATTCTTATTGCCCCTTACGACATAAAAAGGAAAACTCTTTAATCTCGGCTGTAGAAAATCTTTTTCAGTTTTGATGGGAGATGAAAGACCCTTTTCATCCCTTTTTTGAGTTATACTGAGCCGGTTTTATGCTAGCACAAAAGTTTGTATGAGGCGTGACACGTACACAGAAAAAGGCACTATTTTTTCTCTTTCTTTGAATCTGTCTATTTCAGAAGAAATATAGTTTTTGTTCAAATGACAGCTATCGCAAGAAAAATTATATTTCTTAAAAAAAAAAAAAAACATTTTATTGAAAAGAGTATCACTTTTCTTTTACTTATTTTAAGCTCGGATTAATAGGATATATCAATATAAAATCGCATAAAAGCGAGAAAAAACCTTGTCTACATGTAGGCGCTGCAATCCAAGTTGAACTAATTGAGTTTCATTCGAAAAGTGAAAATAAAGAATGTCATAAATATAACTTTGTGGATGGTAAAGACGTTTTAATCGCACCGGCACATACAATCCACTGCACACGCTATTTTCTATATATACATACTTACATATTTATATTTCACATATACTACACAACTCCACTTGTAAACAATCGCCCAAAGGCACTGGCTTTATGCTTACTGCTGTCAGCACATACATACATCACATACATACATAGGACCATAAGCCACTCCACATAACCGATTGTGATATTTATTGGCTTATTGGCAATTAAATGAAAATTAAGGCGAATGTCCTTTGAAGTATTTTTCACATGCCTGGAAAATTTTTTTGCAATGCTGTGAAAGAAAATTCATACATAAATATGTATGTATAGATGATCACGATATATGCATACGAGTATATACTGCGAATTCTCTGCCAATGTGAAAAATTAAGAGCTGAAAAAATATATATATTTAAGCGGTTGGAAGATATAAAGGTTGAAAGGTGTAAAAGGAAGGAACCTCGTTGTTTTGTTTATAGTTTTATATTTTTTAATATTATTATTATTTACCAGATGCTGTTACAATTTTTTTTTTTAACCGGGCAGTAACTCTTCCCAATTTGTTTTGTTTCTTCTGAATTTGATACCCGCTTTGAAATAGTTAATTCGTTCAGGAAATAGCTTTAAACAAGTAATGAATTCATTACAGGTCTGCCATCAGTTTTCAAAACATATTCAGCTACTATTCTTAGAGGGCCTTAAAGAAATTTATATTATCGTTAACTTGTAAAAAAATTTTTTGTTCGCTTTTTAAACTTCCTCAAATTAAATCCTATCTATACCGTACGCTTTAATTTATTTTGTAAATAAATTTTCCTGAAAAAATTCAAGTAACTGGCAATGCTTTAATGAATATTTTTTGCTATATAAAATTTCTTAAACGTGTTCAATTTTAATCCAATAATGCTTATTTTCTGTATATCTTTAATTTTTTATGAGTCAAAATAACAGACGGGCGGCAACTCTGTATTTGATTTATTTTTAATTATCAGCACAAATAAAAAAAAAATATCTATTTGTAAAATCCTCATTCAACTTTAGGTGTTCCTTATAAATTTTAGCTGAATGTATTTGTATTTAGAAATCCAAGTATTTTCCAGAAATGTTTGCATATCCACTGCTTGCTCGTCAACTTTTACTTGCACATCAAGATCTCGCATTTTTTCAACGCGTTTCTTTCTTGATTTAGTTTGCTTACCGACTCGATGACTGACGGACTAAGTATATTCATACGTGTAATACATATTCGTAGGACGTTAGTGGAAAATAACCCAGGCCGACATATCGCTGTCACTCATAATCAAATCAAGCCTCGACTCGACACGAGGCGTCACGTCGGTTGATTTGCGTTGACGAACCTTTTGATGGTGGCATGTTGGTAGAGATATAATATATAAAAGCGGTTAAAAATATAAATAGAAATGAAACTGAAACTAAAAGGCAAATAACACTGAAAATGTAGAAAATTATGTGTGGGAGATTTAAAATTTTTCGTTTAACATGAAGGGGCTTTACTACTTCTCACACCCCCGTTTCATTGGGATTTCAAATTTAAGAAAGTAAAAAGTTAAAAAAATAATTAAATTGTTAAAAACCAAATTCAAAAGGCTTAAAAATGAAATTAAAAAAAATTTAAAAACTTAACATAATATAATCAATTATGGGGTTGCCCAAAAAGTAATTCCGGATTTTTTAAAAGAAAGTAAAAGCATTTTTAATAAAACTTAGAATGAACTTTAATCAAATATATAATTGCCATTTTGTTCGATAACCTTTTGCCATCTTCCTGGCAAATTCAGTATTCCACGCTCATAGAACTTCTGGCCTTTATCTGCAAAAAACTGAACCAAGTGCGATTTTATAGCCTCATCATTGCCGAAAGTTTTACCATTTAAGGAGTTTTGAAAAGATCGAAATAAATGGTAGTCTGATGGTGCAAGGTCAGGGCTATATGGTGGATGCATCAAAAGTTCTCAGCCAAGCTCAATCAGTTTTTGGCGAGTGACCAAAGATGTGTGCGGTCTAGCGTTGTCCTGGTGGAATATGACAACTTTACGATTGTCCGATTCTGGTCGCTTCTCTTTGATGGCTGTATTCAATTTGTCCAATTGTTGACAGTAAACATCCGAATTAATCGTTTGGTTCCTTGGAAGCAGCTTAAAATATGCGACACCCTTCCAATCCCACCAAACAGACAGCATAACCTTCTTGGTGGATATCAGCCTTTGAAGTGGTTTGAGCTGGTTCACCATGCTTGGACCATGATCGTTTTCGACTAACCTTGTTGTAAACAATCCATTTTTCATCTCCAGTTATGATTCGTTTTAAAAACGGATCGAATTCATTGCGTTTAAGGTGCATATCACAAGCGTTGATTCGGTGTGTTAAATGAATTTCTTTCAATACATGTGGTACCCAAATATCAAGCATTTTCACCAGTCCAAGACTTTTTATGTGATAATGAACGGTTGATTTTGGTATATTTAACTTCTCTCCTATCTCACGCTCAGTTACATGACGATCCAATTCGATTAATGCTTTGATTTGGTCATCATCAACTTCATTTGGCTGACCTGAACGTGGCTCATCTTTAAGTGAATTATCTCCAGAACGGAATTTGCGAAACCAATTTTGACACTCTCTTCCTTTTAAGGCTTCATCACCATACACATCTCGTAACTTTTTAGCAACCTGCTCCGCGTTTTTTCCTTTACGGAAATAATAAAGTAAAATATGACGAAAATGCTCCTTTGTGGGCTCCATATTAAAATTGACGCCAAACAAACAAATGTAAATAAAATTTCGCGCACTTTTTTTCTAAAGCAAGCTAAAAGTAACAGCTGATAACTGACAGAAGAGTCACAAGCCGTTGAAAAAATTTGTCAACGCCGACTATAAGAAAAATCCGCAATTACTTTTTGGGCAACCCAATAATATAAAAAAATTTGAAAAATTAGAAATTTGAAATTTCAAAAATTAATGAATTGAAATATGTAAAACATAAAAATTAAAATGAACTAAACACAATTGAGAAAACTTAATAAAAATAAATATAAACCAAATTTAGAAATGAAATTGAATAGAACAAAAAAATTTAATAAAAAAAAATTAAAAAAGCAATAAATTCATTAATTTCCTATGACAATTCAGGCGCTGCTGACTTGTTAGAAATGAGGATTATTAAGAAAAATTTTATGTGTATTTATTTGACTGTGAAATAATTCTAATCATTTTTGTAAGTTTTTTGTATTTTCTTGCAACCGTTCATATTAAATACAGGCTTCAGGAATGCTACCCAATTGGAGTTTTATAATTGGTTAAAAGGAGGTGATAGGAAAAGATTTCCGAAAAGGCCATATTAAGCTTCAAGTAGCTTCAGCTAGCTAGGCATGATAATAATTTAATAGTGTTACTTTTTACCTACTCAGGGCGGTGCATATAATCTGAAATAGGCGGAGATTATTCAATTTATCGCCTCTAGAAGCTTTCCAGGTAGTAATAAGCCGCTCACCGTTTATCAAAAAGCTTCGAACGTATTTCCAGGATATATATCAAAATCCTGGTGCAAAAAATAAAAATGAGAGAATACGAAAACCAATAAAATTATTAATGCTTGTAAAATTATTTTTGAAATTAATTTTTGTAGAATACTCGATGTAACATAAAGATTTGAATTATAAAATGTTCCTGAGAGCAGGAGAACGAGAGAATATGTGCGAACTGGGGCACCACAATTGTGCTACGAAATGGATTCCTAGAATTTATATAGACATAAAGATACCTTCGTACAACCGGATTGAACCATAAACATAATTTTAATATTTTTTTTTCAAAGTTTGTTATCTAGTTCTGGTAAGAAAATGATTTCAAGAAAATGGGACTGTAATTACAATTTCTTGAATACGTCTGTTCCTGTCCTGATTAATAATCAGCGAAAAGCTAGCCATGTATCAAATATCAAGAAAATTGAACATAAACAACAGTTTTTCAAATAAGTCCAGGCAATCTTTAGTTAAAGGTGTAGTGGCTATCATCACTATATTTTATTTATATTTTATAAGTATGTGTATATACATAGGTAAATCTTAAGATTTTTTTGGCTTGCTACATTCTAGTTTCTCACCAAGCCACGCTAAGTATGGTTAACCACCTAAGCTTTCATAAGCTTAACCTTTAGAAAATCAATTAAAAGCAATTAAATGCCATTAAGATGTAGATAATAGTAAATAAAGCAAAACTATAATAGTTTTATTAATTAAAAAATAAAATAAAAAAAGAACAGTTAGAAAGTTTGAAATAATATCTGCCATATTGCTAAGCAACCATAGATGGCGCTGTAATTGCTATTGTACTAAGCTTTAAGCTCTCATTTGCCAAGCTTTATTCCAACAGCTTTTATTTGCACTTATACGTCCAAAACTTTTAGACTTTTTTACTACATTTTTACACACATTTACACCCAACTGTTTTTCTTCTTCTTATCTCTTCACAGGCGAGGACTCTTATTACAATTCAAGCGCTAACACATCAAACAATATCGCCAATGGCTCCATACTTTCGGTCGTTAATAATAATAACAACAACAACACCAATAGCAATAGCAGCAGTAATGGCAGTGCATTACAAAATTCCATAAATACCACGGCAGCTGGAAGTGCTGGTGGGCCACTTATAAGCAACCAGCAACAGTTGCAACAACAACAACAACAACAGCAACAGCAGCAACAACAAATGAGTGGTGTGCCCTCTTCAATATCGGTGCAACAATTTAATGCAATGAACGGCGGTGGTGCCAACAATGGTGGTGGTGGTAACGGCGTAAACACTTCCAGTGGGTCGGGCTGTGGCACTAACGGACAAGGTGGTGGAACAGGTGGCGTTGGTGGTGGCGGTGATGTGTCGCCCATGTCGAATGTGCCACATTCTCAGTCAGCGCCACATCAGCTGGGGCAACCGCCACCGCTTACTCCGCTGGCGCAGCATCACCAGGCGTTGGCGCAACAGTTGCAGCAGCGATTTGCCATAAGCAATAATAATGGTAAGTGTAGAGAAAGAAAACAAAAGCTTAAATGTTAATATTAATCCTTGGCTGAATGATTAAGTTTAATTGATTAATCGCAAATCGTTAATTTTAGACCAACTATTTGGTGTAGCTTAAATGTATTTAGGAAACTTTTTAATTAAAAGTTGTTTCGTTGTATTCAGGCCTCACTGTGTATAGTTTTTTATATTTATTAGCTTTCGAACAAATTATATGATAATTGAATAATTTTTTTCTATTGCAGGTAAGTTATTCGATGAAATGTGCTTAAAATATTTTACTGGTGAGTTTGTTGGGTTTACATTAGGAAGCTTAATAAAACTGTAAATAATTGAAAAAAGGTGATTTTGAAAAAAATCGCTAATTATGCATTGAGGTGATCGAAAATTTCATGAAATTTAAAAGCGAATGAAAGTAAATTAAAAATTTACTATATTCTAAAAAGAAAAATTCTTTTTATAATTGAATTTCCGAACTGTGCCATTAAGTTTTGTTATTAGTTTGTTTATATTTAATTTAATATTTTGTTACACAACCAAGAGAAATGGCAGAAGTTGAAGTTTTGCAACACTCCTTGGAATAATCATAAATTTAATTTAAAAATAATAATTTTTGGAAGATTTCATATTTATATTTTTAAACAAAAAAAAAATCCCGAAATGTATTTATTTTTTCTCTTGAAATGTAGTCATAAGCAAGATTCAAAACAGCTTCACGTTTTAACCAGAAATGGTAAAATAATGTATCTGTATCTGGATCCTGGTACCTGATATAACTAATCAAACAATATTTAATCACAAAAAGAAAAGTAATAAATTATCTTTTTTTTGACAAATCATTTATTCAAAATAAAGGTTTTATATTTCATCTCAAAGAAACGAAAAAATCCATTTAATATTATATATATATGTATATATATATTTATATATATAATTGCAAAAAAATTTTATTGAAATGAAAAATTTATTTTTCATTCCGTTTGTTGGATTCCGTTTGATTTTTTCATCCATTTAATTGACTGAAATTGAGCTTAGTAAGTTGTTTTAGTTCAAAAATTAAGTCAAATGATAAAATTACTTGTTTTTCTGTTAAAAATGTATAGATTTTTTCTCGACTTTGAGTTTGGGACCAATTCATAGCTTCTTAAATTAAAGGAATAAAATTAAAAATAGTTATACATTCATATAAATTTCTTATAAAAAATAATCAATTCAAACCAAAATTTTTTTAATCTATTTGAGTTTATTGAAAAATATTTTTTCTAAAAATCTGTTAAATATTTATTGATTTTGGCATACTTCATTTTCGGCTTCATTAAACGCTTTGGTATATACAACAATTTTAATTAAAAATAAAGAGTTTGATAAGCAGCATGAGAAGAACATAAATTAGGGTCTCAATCTAGACAGCATTTGTTATTCAAATATCATTTATTTTATTTGTTATTTGAAAATTCAAATTTACTTTTTAAATCCCAGCACTTAATGTAATTCTCAACTGATCTACTACTAAATTTTGTATACACATAATATATGTAAGTATGTGTGTAGTGATGCATTTCCGCAGTGAATGGCGGCAATGCACTCTTTCAAAAATTTATAGCAAAGCAAACGAGCAGGCGAATAGTCCAACTCAATTCTGCTATAAAATAAATATTACTCATACGCTCAGTAGGTCTCTGAACGGAGGAGTTCATTTGCGCAATGTTTATTTTATTTGCTTGCTTTACTTACTTCTTTGCATTTTGACGCTTTCTACTTTCCAACTTCTCTTGCATCTTGCGTTCGCTTTACGTTGCCTGACTCTTTCGTCATAACAGTGTGTCTGTATGCGTAAATGTATACATATTACGATTCCTGTATACTATATTCGCATTTGTGTATCTCGTAGAGAGCATATATTGCACTTGACGCTAGTGATGGCATGCGAAAGAAATGTATAAAAGAGAATTGTGTACAAAATATTGTTTGTGATAATGATGAAATGAAATGAATGTGTGAATGGTTGACTGATTGAGGAAATTATTTACTCTACACAAATGTACTCGTAGTTGTATGAACGCGCATGTAGCTATATTATACATACAACTTGTATGCCCTATGTATGCATGTATGTATGTATTTCTCCTTGATATTTTAACAAATGTGCGAAAGTGGTCATAAGAGTCCATCTTAATATACTTGTCTTTGTATGTATGCATATAGTAAACTTCCATGGAGTTGTTGAAGTTTATGGCATTGCACATGTTTATGTAAATCTGATCAATCGTGAGTTGATATACAAAAGCATAGCTCTCGTTATCATGTTGAAGTGCATAAACATAATCCTGGTGATTTTCTATGAAGAATGTATAAGAGGACCAGGATTTCTTCCTCTGTGTATGTTTATGTGAAAACTTTAAGTGTGAGGGAATAATGTTTAATTTAAAGCAAGGATTTAGGAGGAGAAAATATTGTGATTTTCTAGATTTTATTTAAACTGGAGAAATATTTGTATTATCTCAAATGTAGGCTTTTTAAATTTTGTAATTTAAAACTGTCATTATTTTTTAATAATATTTATTATTTAAGAGAAATGCAATTCAATCAAGAAAAATTACAAATATTTTCTAACAGGTTCATACTAGAAGCGAACAGCTGCAATTTCAAAGTTTTTTCGGAAAGATAAAGAAAAAATTCGTACAACAAATTGATATAATAAGTTCTGAGAACGACCTAAAAAAGTCTTGGCGCGAAATAGTCCTACCCTCAGAAAATTTGGATATGGAAGGTCCACATAATCAGAAAAATCATACAAACGGTTTTAATTTAGCTTTTTTTTACAACCCAGTATTGAAATAACAAGAACAATTTGTGCTTGGAGATATGCATAAACCATCGAATAACCATAAAACTTGTATATCACAAGTGTGGCATATATTTACCTGTACCTTTTCACAGTCTATTTGGGTATAAAAATAGTCAAGTTGGAAAAACAAAGGAAATTATGATAATATAATATAAAATAGAAGAAAATAAAATTGTAAAGCAAAACAAAATAAAATCCAGATTAAAAAAAAATTAGTGTAAAATAAAATTATATAAAGAAAAATAAATTAAAATGAAGTAGAGCAAAACATAACAAAATAAATTTAAAAATATGTTAGACAGATGTAAAATTACAGATCTGTACTTTATAATAATAAAATAATAGTGTAATATAATATAAATAAATTAAATCGAAAAGAATTAAATGAAATATAAAATTAATTGAAATAAAATATGTATTAAAACATAGCACTTAAAACAAAACAAAAAATTTAAATAAACAAAGTTTATTCAAGTCAGACGGAATGTATTTATTGCTCCACTTGGGAAAATTTTACTGACGTCGTCAGTATGACTAATTTATTATTTTGAATAAGATAAATCTCAAATACACTAAAACATACATACATACAATTAACTCAAGTGAAAGCATGTTTATATTGGCAGCTAGCGATTTGTCACTCTCTACTGCTTGTGTCCGGGATAGATAACAACAGACATAAATTTGTGTGTAAATAGCGAAAGTACGAAAAAACAACAAACTCAAACACCCTCAAAAAAGGAAAATAATTTAAATAAATACAAATAAGGAAAAGCACAAAAATTCTCAATATCACTAAAAAGGCAAACAAGAAAATCACTGACCGCAGCAACGACAACACCAAAAATAATAAAGCGACGGCCAGCAACAGTAGTAGCAACAGCAGCAGCGTCGGCAGCAGCAGAAAGTGACGATGCGCGTCATTTAGCCGACAATTTGTTTATATTTAACACATACGTAGATACTCACTTACATACAAATATACGAGAGTATATATAGGCGTATATGTTTATTCACCATGTTTTTTTTTGCATTTCCTTTTGTGCGCATATTCGTAAAACGCCAGTTGTTTGTTCGCATTGGTCGGTGTGTGGGTGGGCGGTTAGGTGGCGCTGCTGGTTTGCCGTGTAGGCGCTCACAGACGGGGTAGAGTAGCGCCGTTTATAGCATTTCCTCGACAATGCTCTCCCAGCTTTCGCTCGCAGATATCGGGCTACTGCCTTGCGGTGTCGCAGAGCTGCCATTTTGTGTGAATTTTTAGATATTTCAGGTGAAACTTTGTGTGCAAAGGAAATTGTTGCTATTTACATTTTTGATAATTAAAAATATTGCTGACGGTTGTCAAACAGAAAATGTCAAATCAAAATTGTTGTTAACAAAATGCATTGTGTTAAACAGAAAATCTATAGAAAAAAGGAATTGCAAATTGTTTATCGTGGCAACCCAACTTTGTCGTTTTCATATTGTATTAGGAGAACATCGAATATGTTTTTTTTCGCGTTTGTTGTGACTACATTTTGCATTAACTCATTTATGGCAAAAGTAGCGAGTTGCGTGGCTCTCTATCTTGTTCTGTATAGCTCTCTGAATGCGTTCACCAACCATAAACGGTTCAGTGAAAAAATACATTCAGTTGACATTCGAAATACGTTGGAGACATACAACAACTGGCGGCGGCGACTAGCTATAACCGCAACGTGTCCAATGGCGATGACAAAGTGATTAATGTGAATTAAAGAAAAACAAAAATACTGCTTTTACATGAGTATATATGTCACACTGGTGTTCACTTGATTCATTCGATTGTGTATGTGTGTGCGTGTAATTTTCTCTTATAATCAGTCACCCAACACAATAACACACTGCAACCTCGCTTAAGGAGTTGAAGTAGATTTAATCTGGCATCAAAATTGTTTCATTTTTCTGTGTGCGTCTCCGTTTTATGCTGCGTTTCTTCTATTCGCTCTCATCCGCTCTTTAATGCCGCTACACTCACCTCTGTGTTATAGGCGCTAAATAAGCGAGAAAGATACATGTGAAAATGGTCGGAAATAAAAAAATTTGTGCAAAAAATTTGGTTGGGAAAATCAAAGTAGAAAATATTGCGAAAATTCCATAAAGTCAGGAAAGTTGCCTTAAAATATTGAGAA